CGCACTCTGAAGCCAGCTCAGGTTCATTTTCTCATTGACCAGCACCCCCAAGTACTTCTCTGCAGGGCTGTTCTGAATTTCTTCTTTGCCCAACCTGTAGCTGTGCATGGGATTGCTCCGACCCAGGTGTAGGACCTTGTATCTGACAGCAATGTGTGGCTTTGTTGTGTGAAACTTCACACAGTGCCCAATGCATCTGCTACAAAAAATACGCAAGGTACTTTGTCATTCAGTATATGACAGATATCAAATTTGCAATTGTAACAGAAGATCTCCCAGCCATGATCACTAAAATTCAGTCTAAACCAGAAACGTATAATGGCTGTGGTCTCAAGCACTGCATTCAACAGCTTATATGCTCCTGATGCACCTCATTGGATCTCAAAAGCTAAACAATGTTCATGTGGACCTGTGAGAGCATTCAAAACACAGAGTAAGTCAGAATGCGTAGAGAAATGCTGACTCCTGGAGCACTGGCTGAAGGGAGCTCTCAAAAAGCATCTCAAATAGTTTTGCAAAACACGATGTATTGAAATTGCTCCAAAGAGCAGCAGGTACAATTAGTTGAATGGCAATACAAGGCAAGGAACAGTTGGTCTTTCCTGCTGATGAGGACAGTCAGGGTGGGCTTGTGTGATAACTGGCATGCCACTGCTCTGCTCTCATGCTTGACTCTTGTGCGGAAAATGGGGCACTGTAAACAGGAGGGAAGAAACCATCCCTCCTGCCTTCATGAGGGGGTTTCTGAAGGACTCATCTGTAGCTGCAGTGGTACCCAAACAAACCAGAGAACTTCTGCCTCCATTATAACTTTTCCGTCCAGTCTCTCCTGTATGCACCAGATGAATGCCTCATTATTAGATTCCTCTGCTTTCTTCCTTGTAGACTTAAATTACCATGTTAAATAGGATAATAATAAACACTGGCCTTTAACTACAGCACATCCTTGTTCACTCAGCAGCCTCACTCTAATCTGATAAAGGGTCTGTAAAAGGCTATAAGAAAACATGGAGTTAGTTCTTACACGGGTGCCTCTCCTCTGTTTTCTGCACCACAGCACAAGCAGGCTCAGACTCACAAAGCTGCTTTACGGGACCTTGATCCCTACAAAAATTAACAGGTATCAAAATAGGCGCAAGGTACGAAAAGCACATCATGGATCTGGCCCAGCACTCTTCTGCTGCATTTCAATAGGCAAAAGTAGCCCTGTGCCATCTGCCTGCTTCTGCACTCAGACTCCGAAACAAAAGCAGCCAAGGAAATCTTTCCAGCTTAGGAGAACAGTGGGGAAGGAAAGAGATCTTGGGGGTCTATACTGCCTTCACAATGAGCTGGCTGTATTTGAGGTATTACAGAAGCGCTCTTTAATAACTACTCTGAGAAAAAGTCATCTATCCAACCCAGAATAAATTATATGAAGGAAGCAAGCTGGATTGGGAACAGAGAGGGCTGATCTGCCTAGACTTGAATCCCCTTAGCCCTCAGAAGCTGAAAGTGCCATTTATTTCAGTGTTACAGGATTTCCTGCCTTCATTTATTTATTTCTTTATTTAGTTTATCTAATCCCCTGGATTTCCTTTGCTGCAGAAAGAGGACAAAACCTTGCAAAACAGGCGATGAACACAAAGTCAAATCACCTTGCTGAGCTCTTTCGTGCATCCAACAAGAACCCAAGAACTGCACACTGCAGAACGCACGAGGAGTTTCCTACTGACACAGGATATTCCAACCACTACCCACTGAAATGCAGTTCACAAATAATAAAGCCAAGCTTTGCACTAGCAGCAATGTATCTGTGGAAGTAAGGCGGGTTTCCTCTAGTTTCCCAAAGAGAGTAAAACTTGGCTTTCTACCTGTCTTCCTTCTCCTCCTTCTGCTTTGCAGAGCTGGCAAGTGATACAGAAAAGGAGGAAAGACATGAACTAGGCCGTCTGTCGTTGGAGGGTATGAAAGACATTCTTAATAACAGCAGGAGAGAGAGAAGCCTATGGTTATTTTTGACAGAATTGGGAGAGACTCAGATTGCAGCTTCATAAACAGCTCATCAGAGAAAAATTCCGTCCAAATTGGAGAAGCCCCTTTGGCCAAGCTAACAGAAATACACAGCCCATGTCTGCTAAGAGAGGACTCTTTCAAAAATCAAAATGCCTTTCATCAAAGAACAAAATCACACTGGCACACACACACACCTCCACCCCCCCCATGGTGTAGTAGCATTATCTTGCATTTTTGTCATTGCAATTCATGGATTGCAGATACCAGCCTGTGAATGTTCTGCACAACACCCAGCCATGACCATGCGATGAGATGAAAAACGGACCTTTTCCAGTGTGACTCAATCACAAGGTCCCTGTGATGCACTGTTCTGCACAGCTGGAGGTGATGCAGAGAGGCAATGGCCAGGAAAATGGCTGCAATCACCCCAACCAGGTCAAAGAAAATGAAAATGGTCGTTTTCAGGGGGTGTTTACACAAATGGAGAACAGGGGGTTGGACTAGATGATCTCTTGAGGTCCCTTCCAACCCTTGGGATTCTGTGATTCTATGGAATTCGACCGCTCATCCAAACAAAGAGTCAAAACTCATCTTCATCATTAAATGCCAGCTTGATAGCACAGGTGAAGAATTTCTCGTGCATCATGATCACAAGACAATCAGATATTTGTGTGTTTGTTTCTAAAATTCTTAACAACCGCTTGCACAGAAGCCTTTGTGCTACTGGACTAAGATAAAGATCATTCCTAGTCAAGAGGTACCCACAAGAAACTCAAGAGCTTTCTCTATCTAGCAACCTTGCTGGCAGGCTGAGCCAGGAGGAAGGATTAAGCCAGCATGCAGATACACTCCACCAAAGCTTCCACAGGAAAAGCTCACCACCAGAGGAGCTTGCTGCTGTGTCAGGGAAATGGACATCTGAAGATTATTTGGTCTTTCTTGAGGATTCATTTAATTTACTTATTAAAATACATATTGCCTAAAGTGACCTAAGAGCATCATCTCTGCATGCCTGGAAAGGGTCCAAGGAAAAACACCCCAAACCCCCCCAAAGTCTCCAAAAAACTCCAATAAACAAACAACCACCTTTCAAAAGGAATACTGAATATGGGAGCTACAAACCTGCATAATTAGTCTACAGTGATTTGCATGACCTGTGCTTAATCCTTATGCCTTCCATCTCCCTGCCAAGCAGGTACAGCATAATGGAAAACACTAGAGAAACGGGAATCAATGGCTTGCTTCTGTCTAACCACAATACCATTCTCACTTCATTTACTGCTTAGTGGGAAGGCATTTCTGTGGCACAGGAATCAGCTCTTTCTAAATGGACAAGTCTCAAAGTTCAGCATTTTAGTGGTTTCAACTAACTAGGAGTTTGCTCATCCATAGCAGCCCAGACTGCAGAAAATCCAGTTGCTTGACCTCTTAATGCTGTCTTCTATCCAGCATTACAAGAAAAAAACACTTGGTGAGGGCTCTGTGGTAACACAGCAGGGGGCTGCATGCTACAATACATCTATCCTGGGAATAGAGGGAGCTGGAAGCAGAACTAGACCGAAACACTCCAACAAGAAGCACCTTCTGCTTCTGAAGGAAAAGAGCAATCTAGGATGGGGACTTGGTTAGCTGCAGGGTATGGTGAGATGCCACCTTCCCTGCCACTGGTGTGACACCCACGCATCAAGTCTTTTAACCAGAACTGATATATGCAAGCAACCCAAACCAGAATTATAGAATCACAGAATCATAGAACAGGTAGGGTTGGAAGGGACCTTAAGATCATCTAGTTTGCAAAAGACCCGTAATGAACTAATATCACTCAAAGCACAAAAATGCTTCAAGTGGGCACCAAAAAAAGGTCACTGAGAGGATCATCTGTCCCATAACAGGGCAAGGGGGCAATGCTGAGCCTTGGCAATGCTTTGTACAAAGCACAGAAGCACCAAAAATTGTGCCATGTGCCTCACATTGGAGCAATCACTACTCACTAAACTGGAGATCTCAAGTGAGTGCTGTTTTGTACTATCAGCTGCCAGCCCAAAAAATCATCATATAATATCCTCTGTAGCATGTGTGCTTTAAAGGTTTTTAGAAGCAGTGGCAGGAGTGCAGTAAGAATGAAGAACTATCTAGTAAACTTACAGCCAGGCACACATGCATATTTAGTTGTGCCTCCGAGATGCAGTAATTATTTGTAATGCTGGCAACACTTTCATGTACCAAACCTTAAGTGTAAATGAAAGTACAGAGCTATAAGGGTGAAAAACTGCATTCTGTGAAACAAAATATTTACTGTCTACATGTAAGCATATATTATACTCACATAGCTATAACATATATTCATATACATTATAGCTATAATATACAGAATTCTCATGTGTCTGAATATGCATAGATATACAGTGAAAGAAAGCACTACAGTAAAGGATAAATACTTTACACATGGAAGGAAATACAACCCTTTCATTTAGAAAAGTACCAGTGCCAAAAATGAATCCTTCAACATGACTGCAGAAAAGAAATCACATTTTGGGAAAGGGCAGGGCGACTCTATTTTGTAAGTTTTATTGCCCCTGGAGCAATGACGTCGCAAAAGCCCTTTGCTATAATTTGTCCCCTTTTATGTCCTTATAATTATTCCCACCTGGGGTGCAAGGAGAGGGAATGAAAGGAAGTAGAAAATTATATTTTTTCATGAGCTAATCCTGGGAAAGTGACCACTCAGGTTTCCATGTTTCTCAGCAATAATAATTTAAACAAGGACAGCAATCTTTGGTTATTGTTTGCACAGTTGGAATGCACGCTTCCAGATAACAGACATTTAAACTGCAGTTTAAGAAGAGGAACACAGTAATCGATAGGTATTCAGCAGTCCTCTACTCTTAGGAGTGCTGCACAGCTCAACAGAGTATGCTTCAAAAAAGCCCAGATGCAAAGCTGTCTGGAAAGCAAGATCATGAGAAACAAACAAACTGAAAGCAAAGAGAGCACAACTACTGTACCTTTACTTTGGGGAGGGTTCTGACTTCTGTCTCGGAGAACATTAATCTGGTAGACAGCTCCATAAGGCTCAAAAAGTTCTTTTAACTCTTTTTCTGACCATGAACGGGGAATCTGTCCAACAAACATCTTAATGGCATCTGGGTCTGGTTGGTCTGAATGATCCAAAGCTCCATTCATCTTGTTAGCTGTGCCGTTACTAGAAAGTAGAAGAGATTAAAAAGAGAAGGCAAGTTAGACTATCCAGTTTTCATGTGCACTAGATGCAGAAGATGATGTCAATTGGCACAAAGCAGGAGAAAAAAAAATAAATCAGTATTTAATTAATAGCATAAGTATTATGAACAAAAACCAATACGATTACATTTTTCATTGAGTATGGTTTTCTCTGCAGGCTGCTGCTTAATGTCATTATATAAGAAGAGCGAGGCACAACGCAAACTGGGAGTTGTGCGTTTCGAAGCAGAGGATAGTTGCAAATAAGTGCAGATTTCTCTCCATGGCTGCTGTAAACAGAACTGCAGTGAATTCTCACTGAACTGGCTACTGGCAGAAATAAGGCAGTGCATGTGTGTGTGTTTTGTAATAAAGTCACATGAAAGGAGTATGAAACATTTGGCAATCTGTCAGATGACTAATACAAGATGCCAGTGATGAATTTGCAGATTGTGTGAAGCATCCATGTGTGCATCAAATTAGGATGATATTGCCTAGAATGGAAAACACTCCAGCTATGTGGCTGGTTGATGCCGATTAGTTGCCTACGCTCTTTAAAAAGCAGAAGCAGTCTGGAGAGCTCCAGTTTAAAGCACATTGTTTACTGCACCCTGACATAAAGACAAAAAAGCGCAGTTCAAAAAGGCAAAATTGCCTATATTTTATTGCAAAAATGAAAATGCTGCTTCAAAAAAGTTTTTCTCCCTGCAAAAAGCCATGAGCTTGTTGAAAATCTTCACACCCTGTAAACTGTTACTCTGTCTGATCTCCAGATGTACACTGAAGTTTGAAACAACCATGTGCTTTTGCCGGGGAAAAGAACACAAAATAACCTGCTCTGAGAAACAAATGACATACTACGGTTTAGGAAGAATGCCACTTATAAACCACCTAAACATGTAAGAGTTGTATTCTTATATGAAAATAGTTTAACGTACAGAACAAAAGTAAAAATACCAAGAAAACCGCCTCACATCACTATTGATAATTAAAGTGAGTAATTTCAACTAGTTACTTGGCTGGAGACTCCATAACTGGTAATATTTGGATGCTTCGGTTTCAAGAAAGAACACTAATGAGATGTGACTTCTAGAGCATTCCTCCTATCTTTCAACCAGGGAAAGGAGTGAAATAGCCTGTGTTCAGCACTGTCGAGAGTTGATCAATGCAGAATTCAGGCGTTTCAGAGCCACCTGCCACTATCAAAAACCTTGGCTTTAATTTCAGTGTCTCCATTTGATGATAGTTCAGCAGAGAATGCCCAGAGGAGGACTTGGAAGAGCTCAAAAACTGCACAACCAGATGAAAATCATAGTTTACATGTGGAAAAAAAAATAGTATCTAAGAATGGAAAGAAAAAACTGACCCTGTGTTAATTCCCCTGTCTCACAGCTGTAACCCGTGCAAAGACAAATTAGTTTCCATCTCCTGGAAAGCATAATTCACCTGAGCACATTAATATTCCCATATTAACTTTAGCACTTTTCCTGCTTACGGCAGGAAGGTGGAAGTTATATTAAAGGTGCATTTTAAACCAACAGGGAGTTTGATCACTGTTTATGAAGCATCTTCAATGTGAAATAGCAGACAACAAGACTTATCACACTCACTTTTAGGCAAAATTCATATTGATTCTAGCGTAGTGCCTAAGCAAGAGATTGAAAGATCTGGTCCAGCCCTTTACTACATGCATAAATACCTTCTCTTTTCTTACATACGGTCTTTGTTTTGAAGATGTTCTGCAGGTCATAAGCACATCTGGAAAGACTCTGATTTCTCCAGGCCTTACAAACTGCATTGTTCATATGGATGTAATGCTGAAACCAAACCAAACCAACAAACCAAAGAACCACCCTCAAAAATTCTCCAAGAAGCAGAAATACTCTGACTGACCCAATTGAATGATACCCCATGGGAACAACTGTCAAGACTTTCATGGAGCCATAGGCATGTAACTAACGCTTACATCACTCCATTATTTCTTTCCAGTTCCTATTCCTTTATGAAAAACCTAATCTGTTAAACAACCTCCCCACTAGTGAGGTTGAAAAATCCCTGACCCATAGCTGAAAATAACTAAGGAAAATGCTCACACATTATTTTGAACCTGAGAAGACATTAAAAGGTAGAAACTTAGCTCTGCAGCCCGCAGCTTTGGCCTGGACTCAGTCAACTATTTTCTGTCAGAAATGGCTTCACTGCTCACTTCATTTATTCTCTATGTTGTTTACATTGTAAAAATGAATTGAGTTCATTTTTTAAATTATGCCCTTCATCTATTCTCTCTGTTGGATCTCTTCTTTAAGAAATCCACATACAATTGCTGCTTTAGCCCAAAATTACAGCAAAGGTCATATTTAATGAAGAATAACAAGTTTATTCCTTTGCTTTTTCCTTTGCGCAAATTACCTCTACCACCAACAGCACTGCAATTTCCATTGCTAACAAGCCAATTTTTAGGAAACCACAAAACCAAACACTTCTACCTGTTTTCTCATGTTAATGAACCCATTAGCATCAAGTTCCTCCTTTGAGCTAAAGGTTTAGGCACAGGCCAAGATTTCTTCTAATTCCACAAAATGCTTAAGCCCTTTCTTTACTTTAGTGGAACTGAAGTCCAATTATGTTCATCATATTCCTTAAATGTTTTATTGGATAAATATGCTTAAAGGCTCTGACTCCTGGTGTAGGCTACCTCATGCCGTGATGCTGAGGTGAGCAGCTCGAGAGAGGACGCCTTCAACACCAGAGTAGGAGGAGAGCAGCGTCCAGGAGCCTCAGTTCAGAGCGGCAACAGCCCCCAAGGGAGCCTCAAGGCTTCGCCAGGCCCTGCCCAGGAGCCGGCAGCTCCGCTGAGGGGAGCAGGGACTCACGGGGCGAGCCGAGAGGAACGGCGCTAGCCCTGAGGGAGTAAAAACCTGCCCCAGGGAGCGCAGGCAGGCAACAAAGCGCGCAGGCGAGAGGGATGGTGAGCGCCCGCCTCATGAGCATGAACTCATCCAGAACTGCTTTCCAGTTCTGCGGTGGGCTAACGAGGAAACGCATGTGCACCAGAAACAGGCAGCTGGTGCACTGCTAAAGAAGACCTCTACTGGTGCTGCCAGGAAAAAGCAGCGGGTTGTAGTAGCAGGGGACTCTACTTTGAAAGGGACAGAGGCACTCGTCTGTCGGCCAGACCCAGTCCCAAGGCAGGCGTGTTGCCTTCCAAGAGCACTGATCAGGGATGTTGCAGAGAGGCTGCCTCCTCTAATAAGCCCCACGGACTACTGCCCACTTCTAGGAGTCCATGTGGGTGCTAGGGATATAGATAGTAAGTAGCCCAGAGAACAGAAAGAAGGGCTACAGAGCCCTGGGAGAGGTGGTTAGGGGCTCTGGAGCTCAGACTGGCTTTTCGTCGATTCTCCAGCATACAGGGGAGGACCTTAAAAAAGCTAGGAGGATTAGCCAGGTTAATAAATGGTTAAAAGGGTGGTGCCATAGTCAGGAGTTTGGAGGTCTTGAACATGGGACCCAAGTTTGTAGTCCAGGTCTACTGGGGGATGGTGGAGCTGCTCAGCACCATATTGGTAGGAGGCTTGCCAGGCAGGTCAAGGATGCTTTAAAGTAGATGTGTTGGAGGAGGGGGGCATCATTCCATCCCAACACACCCAGTCAGCTGCCAGCACCTATAATAAATGCTCGGAGCAACGTAGAGAGATTCCAGCCGCTCCAGCCAATGAGCTGACTTCATTTGGAGCTCAGCTCAGATGCCTCTATACAAATGCCCGTAGTATGGGGAGCAAACAGGAGGAATTCAGAGTTGCATGCACATCTATAGAGGTATGATATAATAGCCATCACAGAAACATGGTGGGACAGCTCCTATGACTGGAGTGTTGGAATAGAAGGTTACAGGCTCTTAAGAAAAGGCAGGCCTGGCAGGCAGGGAGGGGGAATTGCCCTTTATGTTAGGGATAGGCTGGCGAGTACGGAGCTGTCTGGGGACAGGTGAGCAGTTAACAGAGAGTTTGTGGGTCAGGATTAAAGGGAGAAGAGTGATGGGAGACATTACTGTGGGGATCTGTTGCAGACCGCCTGATCAAAAGGAATCTGCAGATGAAGCACTCTATAGACAGATAGGAAAAGCCTCATGCTCACAGGCCCTCGTTCTCATGGGGGACTTCAACCACCCTGACATCTGTTGGAATGACGGTACGGCCTGGCACAAGCAATCCAGGAGGTTCCTTGATTGTGTGGAAGACAACTTCCTTCTGCAAGTAATAGAGGAGCCGACAAGGAGAGGTGCCATGCTTGACCTTGTGCTCACCAACAGGGAAGGGCTGGTTGGAAATGTGACGCTCCAGGGCAGCCTTGAATGCAGCGACCACGAGATGGTTGAATTTGAGATCCTTAGGACAGTGAGAAGAGCGCGCAGCAAGCTCACTGCCCTGGACTTCAAGAGAGCAGACTTTGGCTTCTTCAGGAACCTGCTCAGTAAGGTTCCATGGGATATAGCCCTAGAGGGCAGGGGGGCCCAAGACTCTTGGTTGATATTCAAGGATCACCTGCTACAAGCTCAGGAGTGTTGCATCCTAACTACAAGGAAGTGCAGCAGGAGGGCCAGGAGACCTCCTTGGATGCATAAGGAGCTGCTGAGGAAAATTCAAAGGAAAAAAGAGGCTTATAAAAGGTGGAAGCAAGGACAGGCGACCTGGGAAGAATACAGGGATGTTGTCCAGGAAGCTAGGGAGCAGGTTAGGAAGGCTGAGGCCCAGTTAGAATTAAACTTGGCTAGGGATGTTAAGGACAACAGGAATGGATTCTGTAGGTACGTATCGAATAAAAAACAGACTAGGGACAATGTAGGCCCCCTCCGGAAGGTATCGGGAGAACTGGCTAACCTGGGTTTGGAGAAGGATGAGGTTCTTAATGACTTCTTTGCCTCAGACTTCACTGACAAATGCTCTGACCGCACCACCCAAGTCTTGGAAGGCAGACACAGGC